TCTATCAATCAAACTGCGGCTGAGCCCTGGTGAGATGAGTTGTACCAGGGTTAACTTCGGAACTGCCGTGAACAGATGCTGTGGATATCTACTCTCTACGGAGTACTAAGGTACTACCCCGTATACGTGGCAGTCTTTCGGCGTGTTCGTCTGCCGGTATGTACAGAGTACACAGTCTCCTAGGGGATGATTCATGATGAGTGAAATGATAGTCATGAATGCCAAGACATGACTTGGAAGCGACAATTTCCCGCGAAGAGACGCAAGCAACATGTATTACAGCCACTAAGAATGTATGCCTTTAGATTGAATATTTTATATCACAGAATCAAATACTTCAATGTACACTGAAATAGACCAGACCATAGAATGTATATAGAACAGTTACACCCGTACACAACATCACAGCAACTCAAGTAGGTACGGGGTATGGGTATGACACCTGGGAATGCTAACTCTCCGAACGTGAGAAAAACGTGGCAAAAACTCCGCTACCAGAAAAGGAAATGCTGCCCAGAAAGGGGCATTTTAGACAACCAAGTGGGGCGGGATCCTACTGATCCGAAGCCCGGCCTCGCCGTTACAATTCGTTTTCGTTTCGGATCTGGTAACAGCCGAGCTGATTTTGCATTATTGCATAATTTCAATTAAGTCAGCTATGAAGGAATACAGACCCACTGATCAACGGAGATAAATTTTGATATCTCCCTGCGACATGGATAACGTCGTCTCGGGACTTGCGTTCTGATCGACTCTGATTGATCATTAGTCGGATCCTCATGCGCAGTCACCTGGAGACTCCCTATTCCGCGACGTGTCTGCGATCACCGCGAAGGACATGCTGTATATCTCGGAGTCGGAGTGGTGCTCCTACGAATTCATGTCAAATGGAATCATCTATACGGAGTCCTCGAAGCATAGACTGCTAGGATGACCCTGCCATATCTGCATAACTAAATAATACCTCGGGCTGACGTGTTGAATCTTCTCCGGGCGGTGCCGCAGTCTGTAAAGTCTACATAAATAGAGTTACCTATGGATCATAAACCCAAATCGATATCGCACAGCTCGTCGATGATCTGAGATGATCATTGTCAGGATCCCTTAGTGTGGCGTTGTGGCGACATTCGGTAGCAAGTAGCCCCTACAAGGTTACTTCGATGCAGTTGAGACAGACGATCTAGATACATCTGTCATCTATGACGCCCGCGTCGATCTGGTGTCCCGTTGGCGCTCGGGATGGCGTTCGTGCAGGGTTCCGTGCGCCTTCCATACGAGATGCAACTATGCGGACTTTCGTCCAACTTTGAAGGCTATGGCTTACTCGTTTATGTCGTGATGGTGTCAATTCAGTTTATGCTCAGGTGGAACATTCCAGTCAAGCACGTGTCGTGCCTCGCATGGTAGACTTTTTGATCTGACACTGGAAGAAATGTATGACGCAAAGCTTAAGATATCAGAATGTCATGCCAAGGATAAGGTAGATACGAAGATTGTTTTTATCATCATAGAACCATTACGACACCCGCCAAGGGTAGTGCGCCTGTCTACCATAATGTCATTATCAACGCCATGTACATCAACAGTAGACCTCCAATGTGCCTAGGATACTTCCTGCTCTTCCTCATCGCTGTCATCAATTGGTTCCACAAGGAGATTCCCACCGCGACCGATCTTGTCCCGAATCGATCCACCAGCTTCGACTTCATACACCGTCCGCGGCATAGGCGAGACGAGTCGGAATTCGTATTGATGTTCGAATCCGGCGGGCTTTTCCACCCCGGAAGGCTTCCCCTGTGCATCTTGCAGAACTTCGTAGCACTCGACAAAAGCGTAGAGCTCTTCAATGTCGGCCTCGGGAGCGAATTTACGAATGACACGTTCGCCTGAAGGTAGCCGGATACTGATGCGGATGGCGTCCTTGACCTCGGGCCCAGGCTCGTCCTGAATAGACGCCGCCCGCCATCTCTTCCATTGCGCAATGTCGTGGAGACGTTTCTCCTCAGCCGCTTGCCGCTCGGCCGCCTCTTGCTCCGCCCGCTGCCGAGCGGCTTCAGCTTCCCGTCTCTGTCTGGCGCGCTCGCGGTCGATAGCCAGTGATCGCTCGTAGGCCGAATCCTGCTGCTCCCGAATTGTGCGTGAAGCCTGTTGCTCTGCTCGTGAGGCCCGGATCCGTTCAAGAGCTTCTTTATTCTGTGAAATTGCTGCTCGGAGCTTCTCCACAAACTCTGATGGCGATGTTGTTCCAGAGACCCTACACACGACAGACATGGCAGTTGAAGACACATTGGGAGTGTGAACAATAACAGCCGCAAAAGGAAACTTCGTGCACCGGAGGGAGTTCGAGACTTGATATGCCTCAGAGTCTTGGACATTGCCTCCCCAGACAATCACTTCATTCTGAGGGTCTTTGATGAACTCAACGACTTCCCGCGAGAGTAGTGTGTCTCGGACCCAGGCATTTGTATCGTCATGTTCGGAAGAAAGGAGAACCACTAGGAGGAACTTCAAGTCCCGATGGGCTTTTTCCAGCGCCATATTGTAACCATTTTCCAGGAATCCCACAGCATTAGACCCGTATTCCTCCTCAAACTCCCGGGTGAACCTGGCGGCTGTATCCTGAGGTCCAAGAGGCCGACGTCCATAGTTATGGCCTCGAGCACCCTGCAGAGCTGGGTTGGCAGTGGTATTAAGTATGCGAGGCAGGAACGGAAATAAGCTGCTGAAGAGGCGGAACGAGGTGCACAGTAATCGATATATGATGTTGAACGGAGTAAATAATAGCGCCAGTAAGAAAGGCGGTCGGTAAACTGAGTGGTCCTCGGACTGAGTCACAATCCGGGGAGCAGGTTCTGAAGCTCGAGCGGCCGGGGAGAATTGCGCGCTCAGGTCATCGCTCATGAGATTTCGGGTTTGACGGGTAGGCCGGGGCGGAGGCGGATTGTTCAAAGCAGCGCGAGCTTCCTCAACGGGATCGGGTCCTTCCCCATCAAAGAACTTGGAGATTGCAATCTTTGCAGAGGTTGATCAGCACCGTTCTTCATTTTCCAATGCCTCGACGCTTAGGACGTACCTGGACGTTCCATTGTGATCGGCGTAATAAAGGAATAGCTTCAGATGGTTCTTGGCTTGTCACGGCGATATAGGTCTCGAGAGCAGACTTTTCGCTGTCAGAGAGCTGCGAGATATCCAGCCCTGAGGAGGACATAGTTAATGAGAGTCGTAATCCATACAATGACAGAGTAATATGAATGCTCTCCAGGGAAGCGGTGGCAGTTGTATGCTATGACGGGGTTTCAAATGGCGGGCGACGGCTATGTTGCATGCACTCTCAAAGTTATCGAGCAATAGGTCTCAGGCAAAATAAGCAAATTGAAACCCAAGATTCGATATCGGTAACTAAGAAACCGCACAGTTGAAAGGAAACTCTTTCTACCGAAGTGATGGCTAGCTGTTCTCTTTGAAGCTCCGTCATCACCGGGTCCGGGAACTTGGCGCCGGAGACGCGCGCTTCAGGCGGTTGCTGGCCCGTGCACCGCCATTACGAGAGGCCGACTTGTCGAGTACTAATCACCTCTCCCCGCGGGCGCTCTCTCCCTCCGAGTTACCTTAACGGCCTGTGCCTTTTACGCGGCCATCCAGGGTGCGACATTGTCTCGATGCCTAACGTCTTTGCATAGTGGGCCATTGCCTAGTATTGCTCGGTTGTATAGTCTCCGATCTGTTGGGGTGGAGAATTTCGCACCGACAGCGTGCCCTCTACTTCTCACGAACGTGCCTTGGCGTGATCTCCCTCGACGTTCAAGGAGATTCATCGCGATCGAATATTTCTACTGAGCATAGAGGAATGCGGTCTCCTCTCGATATTTTCTATTGTCCAATCTTTTCATGTTATGATTCAATGGAGATCCCTTTGCGCTGATCCCCGCCAAATTGGATAAAGACATACCATGGCTTCTGCAGGGAAGCCTGCTTTGGACGATTCCCGACGCGGGACGGGGTCGCCTAAGATAAAGGCGAGAGGTCAGTTTGGCTCGAGAAGGACCTCTGAACAGAGGGTCTCGTACATGGGAAGCCTCGTGGACGTGACAATGGCCAAGGTGTTATGCGACGCGAAATTGCTGACATCATATCTCCTCTCATTCTAGAAAATGCAAAAGACACTCTTTGTCGCAATATCACCATATACGGTCGTTGTCGGTATGAAGATAAAGGTGCTGCGCTTGCCCCTCGTCCATTTGCGCCTTCTTAGAAACCATGAGCTTTATCTAACCTGGGCGTATCTTCGTGAAGGTTGCGCTTTCAACCATGACCCCCATAAGGTCAATTCGTCATATCAGTCGGACAGGTTGGGATCCCTTTACATCGAACCCTCGCTGGCCCCTCCTCTTCTGATAAGAGGATCAAATCCACATTTGTAGACTGAGCGATAGCTTACATGGAAGTGTTGGTAACAGCAGTAAAAAGCGCTTCAATGTCGACTCCCCCAGCTTCACACCCTCCCTCTTGTCGTCGAATGGATCATCTCCGACGAGCACACCAGCTACAACAAAGAAAATGACTACAATATCTCCAAAAGCTGCAAATGCAGCTCCGTTTCAACCTAGAAGTGTCGTTTCGCGTAAGGCTCAATCAGTCTTCTAGTCTCTAGGTGTTCTGCTAATGAGAGAAGGATCCAATGCCAGTACTCCTGGCTTGCGTCAAGACACAGTAACTCCTGACTGGACTGTAGCCGAAGTACAGGAGTTTGTTCCCCAGGGGTTTGACAATTCGCACCTGGTAAGTCGTGCCTTCCTTGGTTTAAGTCACAGGAACAAAATCATATTCACTGCTTGTCTGTCCGCGCCCATCCGTCTCTCTTTGCCTCGCCTGTTCAGTTTCCTTTCCACCTCGATTCTCGCACATTGGGTCGTATTCAAAGAGCAAAAAGCCTTTGTCAATCATCCCCAATAATTGCACCTTGAGAAGTTTGACACACGACCTACCACAATTTCCTCAGGATGGAACATCCGTCCGCTGTCATCAGCTTGAATGCTCTTGCTGATGACTTTGACCCCAATCCCCTTCACATTCCTCCTGCTTTTCCCTCGCCTTTGGGACAACGCGCTGGACATTACACCCCCACTGAAGGCAGACCCATACCATCTGTGGAATCCTCTTGGCCTGGTGCTAGAAGGCGAAAGCGCAGATCTGGTGTACGTTTTCCAATCGCTAATCGCCCGTTTCAGGCTACTCTTCAAGGAAATGGCAACGGCCCTATCACATCTACGAGCCCGTTTGATCCTTTCGTAACGACATCGACTCCGCTATCCGCAGGCGGAGCTGTTGGCCCCGTTCAGCCAAATCCATATTCTCATGACACTGCAGCAGCACTCGGTGGTGCTGCTTTCTTCCCTGGCGCAGCTGGCTTTCAACAACCTGTGAGTTCCTTTGCCGTATCGAACGATCCCGCCTATCCAATTAACGTCTTGTCGACAGGTCCAATACCATCTGTACGCTCCTATCGGTCCTCATAGCCAGAACACTCTGGGGTATCAGCGCAATGTCCACGATTTGTTCCTCCCTAATGACTTCCGCGAGGAGCTGCAGAAGAAAGCGGCAGCCACGCTGCAAACACTGCCCAGTATGTTGGCTTGAGTCCTCAAGTAGATTATCATGCTAAACGAGAGCAGACACTCAATTACCAGCTCAGATTGACTACTTCCATTCTCTTGTCCCGCTGGACCTGAACCACCAGAAGAATGCAACTATTTTTGGCTTTCCGAGTTGGGTGTACAAAGCGCAATCCAGCAAAGATGGAAATTTCTACGCGCTCCGGAGATTAGAAGGTATGTATTCCTTCGTCATCCCTCATTTCTATACCGGAAAGTCAAGGCTAAGTGGCTCTCCAGGCTTTCGGTTGACGAACGAGAAAGCGATTCGATCCGTCCAGGCTTGGAAGCGGGTGTGCAACGGTAGTGTGGTGACAGTCCACGATGCGTTCACCAGTAGAAGTTTTCAGGACAGCTCGCTGATCTTTGTTACCGACTACCATCCTCTTTCAAAGACGCTCGCTGAACAGCACCTTGGCGCCGGCCAACAAAGGTTTCAAGGTCGTCAGAATGTGCACATTCCTGAGCAGATTCTGTGGGGCTATATGACCCAGATTGCCAACGCATTGAAGGCCATCCATAGCAATGGTCTTGCAGCCAGAGTCATTGATGCAAGCAAGATTCTATTGACCGGCAAGAATCGCATTCGACTCAACGCCTGTGCTATCATGGATGTGGTTCAGTTCGACAGCCAGCGTACAGTTACCGATCTTCAGCGTCAGGATCTGGTCAATTTCGGACAACTCATCGTCACGTTGGGTGCCAACTCGCCGACGGTCATGCACAACCCTACGAAAGCTATGGAGCACTTTACCCGTGCTTACAGTCCGCAGTTGAAGAACTCGGTATTTTGGTTGCTGAACGGCATGCAGAAAGATCAGGATCGAAATATTGACATTTTCATCACTGGTATATCTTCGCAGCTCATGTCGACTTTTGACTCGGCACTTCACTTGGATGATCAACTTACATCGGACCTGAGCCGAGAACTGGAAAATGGCCGTCTTGTGCGACTGATGACAAAGCTGAACTTCGTAAACGAACGGCCGGAATATGAGCATGACAGACAATGGTCCGAGAATGGAGAGCGTTATTTCTTGAAAATTTTCCGCGATTATGTCTTCCATCAGGTGGATGTGCAGGGCGACCCCGTCGTCGATCTGGGTCACGTGATTTCATGTTTGAACAAGCTGGATGCGGGAACTGAAGAAAAGATAACGCTGATCAGCCGGGACGAGCAAAGCTGCTTCATTGTCAGCTACAAGGAGCTGAAAAAGGCGCTCGAATCTTCCTTCCAGGCGTTGATGAAGCCCGCAAGAAGAATGCATTGAGCAACGCTGCGTTACCATGGACTGCCTTGCGGGAGGCTGTTCATTTTTGTGTTTGACGTCCGCGAATATGTTCTTTTTTTAGGCGGCAGATCTTCGTCCTCTGCATGATGCTGTCTCTTGCATTCATTACTTCTCATCGGAATGCGGCTGTCTGTATGAGTGATTGGATGAGAGGTGTGATGCCTCCTTGCTATTCTGAGACTTACTCTCAGCCAATATGTAATGGCAGGATGCGACGATTTCGGATTTACGACCGTCGCTCGCTGCGCTAACAGGAATCCGCTGAGGTCACTGTTGAGGAACTGTCACGCAACCTATTGGCAGCATATGACCATGACGTATTTGGAAGCTATTGGTGTGGTTGATATACGAACGAGAATTCAAGTGAAACAGTTTAGAAATATATTTGAAGTTACTGGCTATAGAGAATGTCCTGCATACTACATCTGCCTCTCTGCGCCTTTGTATAGCAGTCTCGCTTTTAAATCAAGGAAAATAGATAAAGAACGAGAGGGAGATGCAGCCTGATGCCGCTAAAGGAAGGTATGATCATCAGATCATCGACGACTCTTGCTGACAAGAATCGACCGTTAGGCAGTCCTTTGGTTTATAGCTCAGCACCATGAGCCAACATGTCATGCATCACTTCGACCTCATCCACGTCCTCGTCTTCTGCCAGCCAGTCTCCGAGGCGGCTTTTAAGATCCTCAACAGTCAACTCATCGTCATTGCCAGTCCAATCAGGCGCGGAACCATCGACTTTCCGAGGCGGGATCAAAACATGGTCGACAACATGTACAGTGCCGTCCTTGGCCAACGCGTCCGCAAAAGCCACCCGCTGGAAGCCATTGATCTTCAGCGATGCATACGGTCCAAACCGGGCGACATCGACCGCCAGCTTCCGCCCGTGCAGGAGGGTCGGCAGATCAAGATGCGTGAAGCCCTTTACGCCAAACGGCTTGATCTCCCCTTGGGCCGTGTAGAAGACGTCCGAATATAGAGTCCTGTTCTGGACGATGTGGTACTGTAGCAGGGCGCGCAGGTACTTTTCGCCGATAGGGGAGAACAGGAATGCATTGATCTTGAGGCCGAGGTGCTTGAAGGCTGAGTTGGAGGGGGCGAAGATGGTGCCGCCGTGGTGGTGGGGCGTGCTGGATTTGTTGAGAGCGGTTGCCAGGCCGGTCTTGTAGAGGCCTAGGGTGAAGGTGCTGAATTCGGAGGGGACGATGGTCAGAAGCGTGAGGGATTCGGGGGGTGGGATGAGGATGGCGTTAATGCCGTGGATGATGCCGTTTGTGGCGCCCTGTGTATGTAGGTCAGTTGCGTCCTCTGTTGGTATCCATGGGAAGTGAGCTTACAATGTCTGCGGCTACAATGTGGCTGTAGTAGTTCAGCGTCAGGCCCTTCCATCCTACGCGGACGACCAGACGCTGGGGCAGATCAGGGCCGAGAGTGGACTCGTTCAGGGTGGTTGGCACGGTGTGGCTGTGGAAAATATCTGCGGCCGAGTAGCGGCCTGGTGCGACGTGGTAGTGGAATATCGCCCGGATAACCTCCTTAGGGATCTTGTGGTGCTCATGGTCGTCGTCGTGGTCGTGATCACGGCCAGGACAGTGATGCGGGATCTTTGAGAAAGCCTCGTTTGTAGGAGCAAAGAAGGTATGGTTCGCCTCAGTGCTGTTCAGGAACTGGACCAGCTCGTCATCCTCGTCGATGATCTTGGCGAGGATGGTGGTATACTTGCTGGATTTGATCAGTTCGTAGATGGTTTTGTTGAAGGAGGGGTGGTGAGGCGGGAAAGGTCGACGTGGGTGCAGGTACTGCGGCAATTGCTTCAGATCTTTGGGGAGATTCTCCGCGTCGGTGGGATGATCGAAGAAATTGGTAATCCAGGAGGCAGCTTCAGAGGCGCCGGACTGCAGCCGTTGGGTGGTAAACGCACCGGAGGCGAGCTCAAGGGCCTCGTCTAGGGCATTTCTGAAGTCGGTTGCGGCGTCCTTGACGGAGGATTCGATGGAGGAGAGGAAGGATGTTGAGTCTTTGTTCACACCGTTTTTGTTCGTATCAAGCTTAGCAATGTTACTTAGGACCTGTTCATCGGGGATAACGAAGGCGGCACAGAGCGAGAGCACCGGCCAGAGACGGTAGAACTTCATATCGTCAGTCAATAACTTTTCCTTAGAAACATATACACAAGAAGATAAGATATGGTATGATCAGGAAACTCTACTTACCAGTGCCACAGATCATATTTAAGGCAACCTCAATCACATCATGACATGTAGTATGATGACGAAGCCGGTGTGGAATCTTCGGAAGCGCTTACAGTGCATAGATCAACCAACCCAATCAAACAATCAAGGGGCGATCGAAAAGATCAGCCAGACTTTCATCGAACAAGGATGATTCCATGAATTCCCATAAATTCTCATGCCAGTGGCAGTCTTGCCCAATCACTTCTACCCCCGATGCCATCGTATTCGTACTTGGGCCTGGCCCAGTGGACCTAGATTAGCTTCGGGCTGTGGAGCTTCCATGACGACAGCAATATCGGGCATAGGAGCAAGTAGGGTGATTGTTCTCTGAGCCAATAGGCTCTGGGCTTCTTGCAGAGTAATTCTAATATAATTCAAGATGAATGATCAGGGATTGGTGGTTTCAGTCTTATATCAGTGAGGTGCTGTAGAGCGGTGGTTAACAGTCTGAACTCTGAATCATGCTAAGTGGATACTCTGGTATACTAGTAGATGCCTGAGGCTTTTAGTGATTCCTGATATCTCCCTCTAACAAGACCACTTCCAGCAATGCATCTTAGCAATGCATCCGTTGAAGGATACTTCCAAAGAGTATCTGTATGTTTCTTTCAGTGGCATACTATATGTACTTCGCCGATGCTTGCAGCAATGAAAGCAAAACTATCAGCAGTAGATACGAGATAGATATGTTGACGCGTTAATTCATGAGTTCAAAGTATTGTATATCTATTACATGACAATGTATGCTGGATCAAAGGTAGACGCAAGATGCAGCCATCCATAAATCGCATATTTGCATGATGTGGGAATCCCATCCACCTGGCACAAGCACATCTTCATGCTGTAGAAGCCTTCGATGTATATGCGAAAGGGTGAGGACTGGCTTTTCGATTTCTTTCACTGACTTGTCAAAGACGAATGACACTCCAGGACGAGCTCTGGAGGACGACAGACAAAAGAAAGCAGCATCGGAGCCGATAGCGCGGGCGTCGTGTATCACAAGAGGTCCGCACGGTCTTCCCGGAGAGCTTGACGAGACGACACAAGATGAGAAGGATCTTTCACTTTCTTACAGAATTTGATACGTCCGCATAATCTATTCTTCTTGCTGGACGAAAGGATTGGCGATCTCCTCGCTGCCGTCGGCTGGAGAAATCAACACAATCAGAGTGCCGCGGGCGACGATGAGACCAAGGGAGCGAGTAGTTTCGTTTCCCTCGTCATCTAAATAGCGATGTTAGACACTTCATCCAACTTGGTGGTGTCGTTGAGTCACTTACCACGCATGCTTTCCTTGACATCATCCAACACCAGGTTCATGAGCTGATCATAACCCTTGAGCATACCGCTAACTAGAATCGATTTTAGTAGGCAAGAAGCATAATCAGTCGGAGACAAACTCACCCTCTCGTCCTCCATTAAACTTCACCTTCACCTCCTTGTCCATGTATTTGGACAAGTCAAGGATGTTTTCCTTCTTGGGTTTCTCCTGTTGCTGTTGCGCACCGCCACCTGCACCGCCACCCCTGTGCTGGGAGGAGTGACCACCGCCACGACCGCCAGACCTGTCGTGACCTCCGCCGCGGCTACGACCACCCCGGAAAGAGCCTCGTTCGGACATGGCTTGGCTAGCCTGGATTGCCTGGTGATCTGATCTAAAGGATTTGCTTATTTAATTGGGTGTTGTTTTTTAATGGTTTGATTTTGGTCTGATCTGGCTTAATAATAAAATGTTAAAAAAGGTTAAGAGAAGAGAGGGGATGGGGGGGAGGTGGGACGGGGAGAAGACGTGCGCGGAATAACAAGAATGAGGGGATCTGGGTTCGATGGATGGATTGAATTGGACGGGATGTGTTGGTAAGATTAGAAAGAGGGGCGTGATCTGACCTTTCTGGGTAGTTTCAAGCTGGCTGTCCTGGCTCTGTAAAGTGCGGTAGAGTAGCACCAGTGAGGGGAGTCACCTGCAACTTACAGGCAAGATAACTGTGATAGGCGGAGGTTGAGTATGAGTAAGGCAGGTGTGAGTATGAGGGATTTTCGAAGATTGCGAGGGGTCAACAAAAATGAGTGGTAAAACTAGGTTTCCCTATTGCCGTCCCTACCCTAAGGCCGTGTCCAGATTGTGTAGCCCTGGTGGAAGCAAGAAAATTTGGCCTAGTCACTTGACATTTTGCATTCTGGGCTGGTACCTTGAGTGCCTACCTAAGATACCCGAAGGAAACCTCCTGTAAGCCGCTGGTAATTTTACCTGATATTCTGTCTCATACGAGCCCTTACCACAGTAATACCCCCGTCGTATTCCGCGCTATACCTCTTTCGCTACCTGTTTCGCTGCATCACAGTGGAAGAGCAGGCAATGTCCGACATTTCGTGGGCAACCTTAGGCAACAATTTTATGGGATGAATTGGTATTACTTTACTGTATTGTTACACGAGACGGGCGGAGCGCAACTTCATTTCCCTTGTTGTCAGTAAGAATTTCCTGTCGTTGAATGATGAGGCCTTAAAGATATGATCAATATATACTGCGCTTCGTGGTCTCACTTGGCATACAAAGTGTTTGATCCGACTTTGCGTGGGATCATCGGAAAGGATGGACTTACCTGTTTAAAAGGACGCTGTAGCGATAAATCCCTCTTGTCGCGTCATCCCGACAACGTGTCTGGGACTGCCAGGTCCGTTGACCCAGTCCGTCCGCAAGGGGTTCTAGCCAACTGAGGCCACCGTCAGCTTCAAGAACTGCTAATAGGTTATCTGTACCTATTGACTGCCATGTTACTCCTTCAAGTAAAGATTCAACCGTCTCCTACTATACTCATAGTATACGAATGCTTCGTGATCCTGTGTAATTTGGAGGAAATTCTTGATGCCTAGACGTACCTGGTAGTTCTGGGCTGTACGGTAATTACCCGTCTTTCCCGATTTTCCGAGCCACAGCGAATGGCCAGCGGAACAGGCCGGCGGGACTCCGCTCCCTGACGTTTGCAAAGAATCCAGCTCCCCATCACAGTCAAATGGAAAGCATCAAAATGAGCCCTGGACGACGCGGGAAACCTTTAGACTGTTGTCAGAGTTCTTTCCTTCCTTTTTTGCGTTCTTGCCAGTAGATTGATTCGTCAATTAGCGATCATCTTTGCTCTATAAGTCTGCCTACAATACTGTTCCGATCGCACCCATGTTTAGATGTGTGGCCTAAGGCAACTCGTCTAGAGTGTAGAAGGACTCCGAGGAGGTGTCGAGTTCCGCCATGCGCGCCATCACCACCCTAATCTTCCTTTCCCGTCGTCATCAGGCATTTGTGGCCATCGAGATGGTCCAATAATAGCGCCCTTTCATCCTTGTTCGCTCTTTCTGGCTGTCCATCCCATCCATCCTTCTTTGTCCAAACCGTGCTTGTTAGATAATATACTCCGAAGGCCTCCTATCTACTCATATACTCCGAAGGCCTCCTATCTACTCATCTACAGATGACAGTACTCCCGGCTGTACTCCGTACCTACCTATCGGTTACCTAGCTGTCTATCTCCCTGTCAGCTTAGATACCCGGCAACGACTAATTGGCCTGTCTATCTGCCATCCCGTCCGCCTCTCCACCTCCTCTTCGTCTTCCTCTTCCTCCTCGTGTCGTCCTCTCCTCCCTCTCTCTCCCCGTTTCTCTTTGGCCCCTTTCATGTCCTAACATTTTTTCCAAACCCTCATTTTAGCTGCTGTCGTTTTCTAATTCTCTCCCCAGCTCTATTTGCTCTGTCTCTTTCTGCGTCTTGCATACTCTCCGCCTTCTTTTTACCCACCCTTACTCCGTACTCCATAATTCATTGTTTGTTGGGGTTCCTTATTACCTAACTCGAAAGATTTCCTCGCAGCCCAGTGGCTACTTCGGAATCCGCAGCTGGAGCCTTATGCTCCGCCGTCACTCACCATCGATCGCCATTTGACCTTTTTTTCCCTCATCGCCTAATTCTCTCCATCCCCGCAAGGGCTCGATTTTCTGGTGTCGATTTTTCCGTGATAGCATCAACTCCTCTCTCAACCCTTTCACCCTCTTGCTCATCATTTCATCTATCCTCCTCTCCTGGCTGATTCACTGGACCACACACTTTGCACAGCTTCATGGAGTCCAGACCCCCAGCGGCGGCAGAGCCGTCGAACAAACGGCCCAGGTCGCCGTCCGGCGACTATCATCCGATTGCTTCCAAAGTACCCAAGAGCCATTCGAACCATCTCCAGATTAACTACCTCGCTCGTCAGTACCCGGACAATCTGCCTCTAGTCTCTCTCGATGATACTATGCCAGCTATTTTACACCTAGTCGGCGAATATGACGGCGTACTTCATCGCCACGAAAGTATCGCGGGTAACCTCGGCGCATGTCCTCTGGGACCCATCTTGATCAAGCGTTTCGAGCGCCTGTTTGACGGCCCTCCTCGTGTACTCAAGTCGCACGGTAAAGAACCACCTAACATCACCTGGTTGGATGTCGTCGAATTTGCCAAGAGCAAGCCGGAACAGTTCAATCTGGAGAAGTCGCGCAATGGAGTGCGCGTCTGCCAGTTCTATACCAAGCAGTGTCGAGTTGAGATCAGCGAGGAAGATTATGTGCTTATTGCATCCGGGATGCCACAGAAGATGATCCCCCCGCAGCCAATCATTGAGGACGAGGAGAAAGAATTGGGCGCGTTGGAGATCTTGGAGAAGAATTTGCAGCAGATTATCCAAGTCGCCGATCAAGGTTGGTCCATGACTCCCTTCAAATGCGTTCATTTGGCCTCCTTCAGTGGCGCCGGAAGCTTACTAGTGTGTTCTTACTGCAGTATCGGCTCGAGCTAGACAGCTCAATCATCGTTTGAAAAATCGCAGAACGGCTATTGTCACGCGCCGGGAAAATGACGCCTCTCTCAAGGCCCATCACCCGCCCCAACCCCATCAACTACCACAACCACAGCAGCCTCGTTCGCTCAGTCCGATTTGGCGCGATGCGACTGGCGCGGTTCCAAACCCGCTCAATGGCAATCCTCCATCCAACGCTCACTCTCCCTCCACTGGATTTGTCGCAGTGAATACCGCCCGTATGAATCCCGGAGAACCTCCCGTGGAGGAAAACGCGCTGTCGTCGCAGTTTATGTTTTCCCACTCAAACACAGACAACGTTACCATCATCAATGGAACGTCCATCAAAGGCGCATCTCCTACGACACGTGCCGAGCTGATGAAAAAGTTCTTCACTACGCAAGATCGGCAAGCGCGCAGCTACGAAGAGTCAACCGGATCAGTCAACCGGCAATCGTCACGGCCGCGGCCGAGAGCATCTGATGCTGGGGACTACAATATGTACAACCCCGCACCCACTACCGTCGCCATCCCTAGTACGCCGTCGTCATTACTGCCTCCGCCCAAGGCGAACAATATGGAGAAGGATGATGGCGGTCCATTCAAGATGGAAATGGTTGCCCGCATGGAGGAGTTGCAACGCGGAGAGCGTATTCTCCCACCCTGCGATCGCTGCCGTCGGCTCCACATGGATTGTTTGAAGAATTTGACCGCATGCATGGGATGCACGAAAAAGCATGCCAAGTGTTCCTGGAAGGATGTCAAGGAGGAGGAGTTGCGCGAGGCGCGGTCGGACGGCACAACCCGCGAACTCGGAGACAACGCTCAGTCGAAAGACTCTCCAGCTGCCCACACTCCCGCCTCGGCACCAACCCCTGGTGCCGTGTCAGTGAACACCACGTCTGCTGCACCGACCCCGGCGTCTGTGGCTCACGCTCCAGAGCACGACCGGTCACGGGAGGAAGGCGGCGTGGCCTACAACACTAGAAGAGATTCCGCACCCACGGGGGGACCCGCGCCGAGGACCCCATCGCTCAAGGATACCGCTCCCCGACGTGCAATGAGTGAAATCCATGGTAGCGCGGTGGGAAATCATGACCGACGCGTCAGCATCAATCGCAACAACGATCCAGTGCCGGACGACGACGACCCCGACGCCAACTCGCGGCTCATGCAAGCGATTATGGACACCGTGGACCATCATGCGCGAGTGGCCGCTGCGGTCAAGGAAAATGGTCATGAGCAGATGAGCAGTGATCGAGAACGAGATCGCAAGCTAGTGAGAGCTTAAGCTCGTTTCTTGTTGGTGTTGCGACTTGGTTTCGTTTCTTTATAACTTCTGGGGATCTGAGCAGGCATCGAGATCCATGTTTGATTAGGTGAACAATTTCTGTACTTATCCATTGAGTCTGTACTGTTTGAGCGAGTTCAGCGGATATCCCTCGGTGTTTGTATTTGGATTATATTCTCTATAATTGACAGTCTGCACCATGCAACGCGAAAGTCCACCGGTCCGTGTAGAGCGCTCCATCGGCTATGACTTAACCGGCAGGAAAAGACATTACCCGTTTGACGGAGAAGCACAGCTGATGCGATGGGATGGTACTGACGCAGCTGTATCTCGATGAAGGATTGGCAGTGCACAGATGACAATGACTATTGGACCTAGGTAGATTTACTTACTTTTGATCACAATCATCGGATCACCTCATCTAAGTCGGAAGTGGGACACCCCGCAAGCTGCCTGGATCCATCGGATTTACCGATCGGCATGTAAAGATGAGAGAAGCCTGAGGCGGGAGGTGTCATGCCTGAGGCTTCACTTGATTGGTCATCTAATGCCAAAAGGGGAACTCAGCCCGGGGGAATTCCGACCCCCAGTCTGGATGGTACCTTATGATGATGATGATGATGATGAACCCCTCAGGTAATTATGTCAAGAAGCTTCGGAAATAATAGTCTTTGCGGGGTATTGCCGAGTCGTCGACCAGACCAATGATGGACCAGGTCGATCAAGCAAGCCCTTGCTCAAGCCCTTGCTTATACAATTATTACCCATCAATCCATCGGCTCCTCAACTTCCTCGCGGAACCGGTGGTCATTGCGGGGTGGTATTTTCTTCGTGCCTCGTTGGACAAGGACTGATGGGTCTGGTCTATTAAATCTGGTGGTCCCCCATTGAAGAGCTTGAGCATTCGTCTTGTTTTAGACTCTTGTTGATTGCTTGTTTTGTTGTTTTCTACAAGACTCCCATCATGGACCCCTCACAAGTCAAGATCCCCCCTATGAAAGACCTCACGGTCGACAATATCACTGAGAACGTCATCCGGATCAATTCCCTCTGCGAAGATGAACGCATGAAATACGTCCTCGAGCGTCTGGTCACGCATCTCCACGACTTCGCCCGGGAGACTCGACTCAGCTCCCAGGAATGGATGACGGGACTTACCTTCTTGAAGGAGGTGGGCCAGATCTCTTCCGATGTGCGACAGGTACGTATCTTCCCAGCACTCATGTAATAGAACACACACGGGGAACCAACGCAAAGGGAAAAAAAATAAAGGAATTCATCCTCCTCTCCGACGTCCTCGGCCTCTCCATCCTCGTCGACTCAATCGACCACCCTAAACCCCCCGGCTCAACCGAAGGCACCGTCCTCGGCCCCTTCCACACCCACGAAGCCGAAGAGATCACCCAGGGCGGCCTGATGTCGCACGATCCCAAGGGCGAGCCGCTCCTCGTCGTCTGCACCATCAAAGACACAAACGGCAAGCCACTCGAGGGCGTCAAGATCGATATCTGGGAGACCGACTCGACGGGCCACTACGACGTGCAGTATCCCGGCCGCGACGGGCCCGACGGGCGCTGCATCATGCGCAGCGACAAGGACGGCGTGTTCTGGTTCAAGGCTATCACGCCCGTGCCGTATCCGATCCCGCACGATGGGCCGGTGGGTAAGCTTTTGAAGAAGCTGCATCGGCATCCGTATCGCCCCTCGCATATGCATTTCATGTTCGAGAAGGAGGGGTATGATCATTTGATTACGTACGTTGCGCTCTTCCCCCTTCTCTATCCGCAGAGCGGAACGGGGCTAATGAATGACGCAGAGCTCTTTACCTCCGAAACGACCCCTACGAGACCTCCGACGCTGTCTTCGGCGTCAAGAACTCCCTCGTCGTGGACCTCGGCAAGGCGGGCCCCGAATACGCAAAGAAGTATAATGTGCCCGAGGACCACGCCCTGCTCACCTACGACTTTGTCCTCGTCACCGATCAGGAAACCGCTGATCTGCGCGCAAAGAACTCCAAGGAGGCGCTGGATAAATTGGGCCGGAAGGTTCGCATCGTCAATGGGTTACCGGTGCCGGACCTGGATTGAAGAGATTAGCTATATTTTGCACCTTTGTTCTGACCTGTACATATTGAACTGTCTTGCGAGATGTGATTATGAGTATAACGCGCATTATTCATTACAAGAGTCGTCGTAGGGATGGTATATACAATGAGGTGAATACGCACGTATCACAGCCCGGATTGTGAAGCTTCCACCATATCCCCGAAGTCACTTCCGCCGTCGGCCACTTGCACCGCTGCTGTATTGCTGTTGGCATCACCAGCTGCAGCATCTTTCAACCTTCTCACCCCCGAGTCGTCCTCCACCCAGCCACCAACTTTCTCCATTCCTTCAATATACTCCGCGCCAATACGCAGGTTCAAACTCGCGCTGAGCGCCCGCTCGATCCGCGCTTCTCGCGTCTGCGAAACCAGGACCCGGAAGACATGCGCCAAGAACCCGCTGAGGATATCCACGCTCCAATCATCGGGGATCAGCTGCAGGACATCTTTGATATCGAACCAAGCAGCGAACCGTGCCAGGAGATCACTGGTCCGCTCGATCCGTTCGGACACGTCCTGGATCTGAAGGAATTCGTCTAGAAGATACCGAAACAGCTCCGATTGGTGTGACCTGTCAGGGAGTTCGGCCGTCCCTGCTGAGCTGGTGCTGCGAGGTCCGCCAAAGAGACAGTACCGAACGGCAGAGTCATAGTCGCCAAGCCCGTGAGTGAGAAGGCGGAGGGCCTCCCGGTGGCGGCCCTGCAAGCCATCCAGAATCACCGACTCGGAGACGAGTTCATTCTGAAAAGGTTCGATTCGGGCGAGGACCGCAGGGATTGAATATGTCAGTTTGGAGGGTGATGGCATCGAAGAGAATTGGCTACTGCTCCCTCCGCCGAGCAACTGCAGCAGCCGAAGCCGCGACTGCCACCAGGGTTCGGCTGGGGTGTTTTCCATTATGAAATTCATGTACGTCGGCTTAGGGGGCCGCAGGGCACGGTAGGTCGAGTAGGATTCTGCAAGAGACTCCCGAGCGGCAGGAGAGGACTCGAGGACTGATAGGACAGTATCCAGGTAGTAACTGAGAAGGTCGTCCGCATATTGCGTATACTACATATGTTAAGCGTTCGAACAGCGTGTAACAGTAAGCATGTTGGAACTCACATTTTTGGCGAAAACGAGATGCTCCAGATACACCTGGACTGCGTTGGGGGCGCGCTCTTTCAACATTTCCACGACATCAGCCGGATCGAGTTGAACCCTACTGGTTTTGTCTGCAAAGACCTGGATTCCAAGTTGAGGGTTACGCCCAGCAAGCCATGACCCGTACTCCTCGACGAGTTGTGCGTCTTTGATCTTGACGAGGTATTTGCGCATTTGCGCTTCAACGCCCGACCCAGTCACCTCCCCGCCCACATCTTCTTCTCCTTCGATGATTCTCCGCCATGTCTTGAGAACATTTCTGGACATTTTCTGGCTCTGATACAGCCGGCTGAGAACGTATAGTCTGCGATAACTCTCTAACAGTATAACAGCCCTGTCGAAGCTGCCTTTCCAGGTATCAACAAGCTTATTCAGCTCCGCACGGATTGGGGAGACCGAACGCTGCTCCACTGTCAATTGAGAATCCTGTTTCAGGAGCAAATGCAACAGAGCTGCATCGACGCTATCAAAGACGTAGGTCTCATCAGTGATGCTGCCATAGCCCCTCTTCTGCTGCCATGAAAGAAGAAAGCGCTTGATCATGTTCACGACTTCATCATCGAGAGCCTTGAGGTCTTTGTATTTTTCGTCTGCTGTTTCCAGGCGCTGTAGATAAGCCTCGGCGATCTGCGCTAGTCCTCCATGGATCCAGATTCCCTGCGGGCCCTGCAAGACTTCTTGACGCAGCTGTGGGATCAACAAGAGAACAATCCGCGGATCCAACCCTCCAGTAACCAGCACCCTTTCCGTTACCTGGACGGCCGCCCCCTTTCGAGCAGCTGCATCCATGAAGAGCAGGTCACCAAAGAGAAGGAGGCTTGACTTTTGTTTTAGAAAATTGAGACCCAAGAACTCGGCTTCAGAGCGCGGCTCGGCGGCCTGAACTTCCTCAAAAACATCCAGAATAGAATCCCTTTTCAAATCCCCGTACATGAGATCCTTTGAACCTTGGGCAGCTTGCAAAGCACCATCAAGTTGTGTTGTCAATGGATTTCTAACCACTCGCCAAATCCGACGCCCAGACCACATTACCAAGCTGCTTTGAGCCTGACCCAGAGCCCGCGCGAATTTGGCTTCTTCATTATTGCGTTCTGCCTCCCACCCCCGCTCCGACGACCCGTCGCCCTTCCTTACTCCATCGGAATCAGTCAACTCTTGAGACTCGAACAATTCCTTCTCCTTCTGAAGCTGCTCAATGGAAGCCTGGGTCCTTGGATCTGTCACAGGTAGGTAAGGAGACAAGGAGGGCGCCTTCAAGCGGACCATCTGTAGCAAGCTTCCCAGTTCACCGAATTCGAGTTGGCTGGAGCTCATTGTATGACAGATTCCCACAGGACATGACGGCATGTCCTCGGCCGAAGGTATTTCTAGCCAGCTCTTACAATTCTCCTCCTCCCTTGGGTCAACGTCCCACGGTTGAATTTCCAACCACTTGCAACGTTTCCCGTCTTCGTCTGTCTCTATGACCGCAAGGATGTATTGATCGTGCGTGTTCTCGCTCGACTCGACAAGGTTGTTCCCTTCGCCGCTATCGATTACAATGTACTCAGGGTAGCGATGGAAATTGAGTGTCCCACGGGGTACAACGTCCCCATCTAGATTGACAAACATGCCAACTCCAGGTTCTCTTTCTTCTGTCCCGGTAACTAACAGAAATTCTGACGGCGTTGGAGACGCAATGTGAGGTTTTAGCTGCTTCGGCAGGGGAGGAAGCGGTTTTGTGTCACTGACGGAGCCCGGCTGTGGCTCGCCTGCTCGGTTTTCAATAGATGTTCGCGGCGATGCACTACGACTTCGGTCTTGCGAAATTGATCGTCTCGGCGTCCCGGAATCTGGGGAGAGTTCAGGCGTCGCAGAGCGCGACCGATCATGCTGAAGGTGCGGCGGATTTGGTTGAAGCATACCGAGAAGTGTATTCGAGCTAGGGCTCCTGGCATGAGTGCGGGTTCCATGAGGCGTTGGAGACGGGGCTGAGGGCATATCCTCCACGTGGCCCGATTCGAACGCTTCGTTAGACGAGGATATAGGAAACAGAGGGATCTTTTGCTGATGCTCCACATCAAGCAATGCGTATGCATGCGAGTCAGCAGCACAGGCAATTGTTCCTCTTCGCAATGCCATGAGACAGCCGGGAAACTCAATGTTTCGGATGCGTCGAGCATCGTCCCCAATCCTAACCAGCATCATTCTACTTTGCGCTCCAATCAGAACAACGGGCGGTTCAGTACCGTTTGTATCTGCGTTCAGGTCAAGACCGCCGATCCAGCGACAGTTGTTGACTTTCGTATTATTGAATGCCGGGCTGAGCTCAGGTAGCAGATAGAAAGTAACCGTCCCGTTGCAGAGCACGCATGCTTTGTTGACTGTTGGAAGCAGAACAATTTGCTGAATCCCGGGGTGTCCTGTTGCCAATGGTGCATTCTGAGAGAACGGAATGGGTAGTCTTGAGGCCAGGATGAAGGACGGTTCGTTCGACCTGTCAGAGGGGTCCGGTGGAAGGCAGACGAAATGAAGGATCTCCGCAGAGGAAGTACCGATGTAAAGATTATCATCTGAGGGGCAGAACCTGTCAGTTGTCTTTCTCTTCCAGGAACACACAACAGAGAGTTCAGAGCTTACTCCAGTACTCAACACAGGTAATGTAGACATCGTCAGCCGTGGGATCTTCGGCGGACAAGGGCACCTGGTCTAACAGGGACCGGAGCACATAAGGGGCTGATTTAGGAGACGTAATTTTCCTCCTTTTGCGAGGGCTGATGCCGTCATCTTCCGACACCATAGTGAGACCAGCTCTGGCGCTTTCAAGACAGATCAGTTATAAAACGTGAAGGTGAACAACAACAGTATGTCCTGGAGCTCAGCGGAGTTGATGCCTCATAGAGTGGGTCCAAACTGGGGGTTCTGCTATGTCAGCAGCCGAGCTTAGTTAGTTAGTTAACTAACTAACTAACTAGTTAACTAACTAGTAGTAGTAGACATTGGAGACGTCTTGGCCGTCCCGTTGCATCCTAGGTAAACATCATTGCACAATTGCTTGGTATGACTGAGTTTAAATTCGATGGAGCATGCTTAATTCGTAATCAAAGTATTCATAGTCCTGTACACATCTGATCGGTTCTGGCCATGTTGCTGCACAACATAGAATAGCGAACATCAACAAAAGTTCATGATACCAGAATCACGGGACGAAGCCATATGCGTTGCAGATCATGTGGCATGTCCCTCTTTTCAAGCCACCGCTGCTATTCTCGTGGATAGATGCATCCACCAATACATATCTTGCACTCTTATTCGCACAGGGATCGCAGACGACTTTCTATGGATGCTGCTTGCGACGTCATCTCAGCAATCATCTAAATAGTTCCTCGTCAAGTCAGCGATGCAGACTTAGAAAGGCGGCCTGCTTGAACGATTTAGTATATCACAAGCAGTGACATCTGGCTTTTCGAACTTCAAAATGGGATCTTCTGCCCTCATACGGGAGTAGTATGTTTGTTCGGTCTCATTCTGCCTACCTTCGGGTAAGCAAATGCAAGAATGGCGCCGCAAATAAACCACAAATCCGGTGATTCAGTTCATTCACAAGTACCACAGCCCTCTGACCATCGGAGGCGGCAGTCCTTTTGGGAATGGCTTCAAGGTCAATTCCACTTGAGACCTCCTGATGATGATGAGCCTCAAGACTGGTGGCTTGCATCTACCGCGGTACCTTTAGTCGCCGCTGCCACTGGCCCCCTTGCAAATGTCATGTCAATTGTTGCTTTGGTCATGCCATGGAGAAGTCACATATTCTTCGACCAGAAAGACTCGCTTGGAAATCCCTTGCAAGTTGGTTTCTCAGACCCTCGATGGTAAGGATATCGTTCACTGCCATGATGACCCAGATGGAATGTATGCTGACTTCTGCAGGTGCATTGCTCTCAACGCCACCTCACTTGCGTTGGGTCTTTTGGGGAACGCGTTCCTGCTGTGTAATTTCACACGTATCATACGCTATATCATAGCTTTACCCGCATCTATAATCTGCTGGACTGCATCAATGGCTCTTGTGAGTGGTCTGGATCAACTCGAGTTCGCAAACCTTCTGACTCTGCATTGAATAGTTGGTTGCGGCAACCGTTGCGCTGCATGTATTTGCAAGCCCGATTGCACCGAATGAACTTTACTCGCAGGCTTACTGGAGTGCCGTTATCGCGGCAATCCTTTATTTTATTCTCAGCGTCATATTGATCATCAACATGTTGGGATATATTCTTGGACATTATCCCCAGTACTTCGCTCTTACCGATGGTCAGCGAACTCTGATCCTACAGACTCTGTCATTTGTCATCTGGCTATTGATCGGTGCTGTGATCTTTTCCAGGGTCATAGACATATCATTCGCAGATGCGCTATACTTCTCGGATGTAACCATTTTAACCGTGGGATTCGGTGACATTGCGCCTACAAATGCCATTGGAAGAGGCATTCTATTCCCTTACGCCGTGATGGGCATCATCATGCTAGGTCTAGTGGTCGGTAGCATTCATCAATTTGCCAAAGATCTTCAGTATGACAATGTCATTCGCAAACATATTGAGCGGAAGCGGCTGGCAACTATCAGACGTGCTACTACATTGGAAATCAATTGTAGTGGCCCAGCAGAGAACGGGGCTCACACGAGTGATTCTGACGAAACAGCACAGATTGGCTATCGGCCTCACTATTCACATGAACATCCCATCAGAAGCAGTATCAGCTCTTGGACTCAGGGACTGGCGGGTCGGTCGAAGCTTATGCTCATGAAAGAAGAAAAGGACCGATTTGATGCCATGCGTGCCATTCAGAACGAAACAATCATATTCCGTCGGACATACAATCTATTGTTGAGCATTGCTATTTTTGGGATAGTGTGGACATGCGGTGCAGTGGTTTTCTGGCAGTTGGAAGAGGATCTTTCATACTTTGATGCTCTATATTTTGGATTTTGCTCACTTATTACCGTGGGATATGGAGATTTTACTCCCACAACGAACGCCGCAAAGCCGTTCTTTGTGGTATGGTCTCTCATTGCTATTCCAACGATGACCACCCTCATCTCGGAGATGAGTGACACAATCGTTGCCTGGTTCAAGAATGCCACGGATAAAGTTGCGGACTGGACGGTTCTTCCACAATCATCCAAGTATAAAGCTTTTCTCCAAAGGCTGCCTGTTATTTACTCCGCCCTCGAGCGGCGAGCGGAAAAGAAACGAGTTGCTCAGGGCTTTCCTGTCGGGGACTTAGAGCCAGGGCAACGGCAGGATGATGGTGCCGACTCCAGCCGTCGCCCGAGACCACTTGAAGATCTAGCTCGCGACTCAAGTCCTTCTCGTCAAGATTTGGCCCAGCAACTCGCATTTGCAATTCGACGGACAGCAAAACATGCCCTCACACGCCGTCCGAAGCACTACAGCTATGAAGAGTGGGTTGAATTCACGCGTCTAATCCGATTTACTGACAACAGTCCTGAGGGGGTGGTGCTTGATGAAGACGAATTTGGTGTGCTGAATTGGGATTGGATTGGAGAGACAAGTCCGATGCTTGCGTCGCAGACAGAGCCGGAATGGATCCTCGATCGGCTCTGTGAAAGCCTGATCCGATATGTGGATGGTCAAGGTCGCAGACAGCCTTCTGACCAGGACAAAAAACCTTTGAGTGTAACCAACGGTGACGAGGATGACGAAGAGCCTACATTGAAGAAGGAAAGAGACATCCGTTTTGATGATGATTAGAGCCATTCAACTTGCTTTATATGCGCCTTTCGATACAAATATGACGTGATTCTTTATTTACAGAACGATGCTCCAACACCTCGTACCTTAAGAGTCAGCACTAGACTACTCTGCTCTTCTTCTGATCATTGACTTCGTTTCTTCAAACAGGCTACTGGATCTGTGGTCATTAAGTAGCTGTGAATCCGATCAGATAACGGGCTTTCTTCTGATGTTCTCATATAATACACAATCATACCATCGAGCTCCCTAGTGAGCTCATTTAGGAGTGTCCCAAATAGGAAATACTCGGCCCTGAGGAGAACAGCTTATCCGTTCGGAACAACCATCGGTCCGCTCCGCGTGTCAACTGTCAACGGTCTCCGCATCTCAAACCGATCTGTCTCTGTCCGATCGCTGCCTTGGTCGATAATTGTAGGGTATCTGGTTGAATTAGACGTCCGATGGGCTCACTGAGACAAAAGTTTGTGCCAAAATAGGAGAAAGAAGATGGATACTTTTGCGATTACGGAAGGCATCGTTCCCGAGAACAACAATCAAGATGGCCACGACGCCGAACGGGCCAGCTCAGAGCAGCAGCTCCCAGAAGAAGCGAACAAGTTCCAACGTGCCATTGCGGCATGGAGAAGTTCGTCACCATTCGAAAACCTTGTCTATCTTGAGACTCAAAGTTGCTGATATCTCTACTCTATTAGGCATCGACTTGACAACGACTGTCGCAAAACTAGACGCTACGGCTTCGGATATTGTCGCTCAACAGCGAGATGCACTTATACAGAGAAAGGATCTAGCCCAGAAGACAAAGGATTTTCGAAAACTAGACGATGCTTCCAAGCTTGCGGAATACAAGGGTCTCCTGAAATGTCCGTCCTATCTCGGCCGCGATCAAATTGATCTTTCGAGCTAACGTATGGTAGCATATCAGAGCTTCATTGATCTCCTGACCAATCACGGGAAATCCTCCTCCTCTGCGTTTCTACAGCTCTACTCCTCTCTGTCGGAAGCTCCTGATCCTTACCCACTCCTTGAAGCCTCGGTCGACTCCCTTTTGCTCTCTGAGCAAACCGTCCCGAAATTGACGTCCGAGAGAGACCAATTGCAGAAATCTGTGAGTCGTCTTACAACCCAATTAGAAGATACGGAAAAGCGACTACAGGAGGAACGAGCTGCGAGAAAGAATTTGGAGGACAGCCAGGAAACAAAGATCAAAGAGATCGAGTCGTCCTGGTCCGCCGTGTTGGCGGAAAAGTCGAACAACTGGGCCGCCAAAGAGAAGAGCTTGGAGGAGAAGGTGGAAAATCAAGACCGCTTGCTGAAGGAAATTAAGGCAAGTTACGAGGTATCCCAAAGGCTGGGTCAGGAGAGCGATGGCGGTGATGCCTCTCAACACGGGGCGACTGCTGCAGAGCTAGAATTGGTGTCTGCCGATTTGGAAAAGACAACCTTGCGACTAGCCGAGGTGGAGGCACGAAACGAGCAACTCAGGCTTGAGCTGGCTCAAGCCGTTTCACATTCGCAGGCTACGCAGGCTACCTCGGTTGAGGACGATCCCGCCTATCTTCGCCTTCAGTCAGAAAACTCGTCCTTGTTGCGCAGACTGGATGCTGCGCGATTCGATCGGGAGTCTGAACGTCACGCATGGGAGTCGAAGCTCTCACAATTGGAGAGGCAGAGCTCGAAGGTGGCTGCGGAGAGGGACGAGCTGCGGTCGCGGTGGGAAAAGACTGCTGACTATGAAGATATCCGCCGCGAGCTGGAGATGATCAAGGTAGGATATATCCTATGGCAAGACAGCCGTACTTGCTTGCTGATTCTTCGTAGTCTATTGAGTTCTCTGCGGGCGATGGGGACGATGATGAGGCTGGAGATTCCACAGGCAATGCTAACAGTACCAACGGTGCCCTTTTGAAACCTAAGGATGGATCCAGCGGTAATAGTCTAGAGGGGCTGCTCTTGGCTCGCAACAAGAAATTGACAGATGAACTTACCGTTCTTCGTGTGTCCCATCGAGACCTCCAAGGTCAACTTGAACTTCTGCGTGAGGATCTCTCAAATACCAAACAGGAACTGGAGAAGTCCAAGCAGTTATCCACAACTCTTGAGAACGATCTGCTCCGTGTACAGCAAGAGGCGGCGAACGCTTTCCCATCATCCGCAATGTCTGTTGCCGGTACCTACAGCTCAAGGTACCCCCACTCAACCAGGAGGGGAGCAGCATCGCCCACATCGTCCATAATTTCAGGTTTTGATCAGGCGGCAGCATCCTCCAATGCAATGGATGCCATACGCGCCGGGGAGCCTGTGGGTGGTGGTTCCGGTCTGCTGCCTATGATACAGGCTCAGCGTGACCGCTTCAAGAAGAAGAATGCGGAGCTGGAAGAGGAGCTGTCGAAGATGTACAGCACGGTCAAGTCCTTGAGGCAGGAGGTTGCTTCCCTCCAGAAGGACAACCTTAGCCTTTACGAGAAAACGCGATACGTCTCAACGTACAGCCGTGGCGGAGCCTCCTCGTCAGCCTCTGCCTATGCGAATAAACCCAGCAATTCCTCCGTCCATGTCTCCGCGGACACGCCTTCTGGTCTTTCATTAGACCGGTATCAGTCTGCCTACGAAGCTCAGCTATCACCATTTGCTGCTTTCCGAGGCCGTGAGTCGGTGCGGGCGTACAAGCGCATGAGCTTGCCCGAGAGGATCGTGTTTTCTATCACACGAATCGTCTTGGCTAATCGAACGAGCCGAAACCTCTTTGCGGGGTATTGCTTTGCCCTCCATGTCTTACTGTTTCTAGCATTGTATATGATGAGTACCATGGAAATAGAAAAACACAGTAGCGCCAGTCTGGGAGCTGCTGCCGCTGCTGCAATGGCCGGCGGAGGCGGGTCTGGGAGTAGCAGTGGCCAGCTACATGGTGATGATTGGCAGCAGGAGGGTTTCAACCATGCAGCTTAGTGGCCATCTGACTTCTTCTCTTCTCTATTTTTGGCAGTCGGCGTTTACAAGGTCAGAGATGTCTAGTTCGTCAGCTAAATACTACCTTCTAATCTATATAGTCTCCATTCCCAATTGAAGCAGTCAACAGCTTCGAAGGTCTTCAGGATCTGGATCCCATGCTACGGTCTCGCAACGACCGCGGGGCGTCATTACCCCTTGCTACCAGCCATGAGTACTTACTTCTTTAGCGATGTCTTAGCATGTGGTGGTGTGGGTCCACACGCATCTTAGCAGGCTTGGTTTCTCCTTACCCAGCGTCGGACTGTGGCCCTTGATGAAAGGGTGCTGGGTAGATAGAAATGATGAAAATACCTGGCACACTCGGCAGTCGCAAAAAAAAAAAAAAAAAATTCCAAAAAAGAAAGGTGCTGTTGGCCCGAGCCGCGGATCGAACGCGGGACCTCTCGCAGATATGCTTGGGTTTTTCCCTAAGCGAGAATCATACCACTAGACCACCCGGGCAACTGTGCTGTGCAAACAGCTTAATTAGTTATAGGAGCCTACCAAGGGGGAAATGGTGGATTCTCTCCTCATTGATCTATACATAAAAAGCCAGGGCTTCTAACGCAGTTTCAACTTGATGCATGTTGCTTGACACTAGGGTTCTTGTAGCTATCTTGATGACCACACAGACTGCTTTTGATATTGGTGGGCATATTAGTTACCAGTGTTATGCGTACTCCGAGTGACGTACTCAGAGTGATATGCAATATATATCATACCACTAGACCACCCGGGCAACTATGGAGATAGCGGGCTTCTTTAGTCCTCATGATTCAAAGAACAATAGCTTACACATCGAGTCTTACTCTTGAGTTACTAGCGTGCTTGAGGAGGGAAGAAGTGTGCTTATCGCAGCATTAGGAACCGAGGAGCTTGAGGACAATCACGCGGTACCAATAACCGCGGTCAGTGTTACATTCGTCAAAGGCATTGATCACCTGGAATGTCTGCTTGATGTTTACCCCGCGCTCGATATATCTCCCAGAAAAACAACAGTCTAAGCGAGCGGGCTAACATCGCTGTCAACACACGACCGCTTGACAATGAGACCATTGCCCAATTACATTACTAGCAAAGGCCGAGGAAATACCCAGGTATCATCAAGAGCCCAGACTGATTGACACTAGTCAAGACACCAGTCTCGTGGGCAATGGCAATCTGCCATTCTGCACACTAACCCAGGTTGGCATGACGCCTAAGCGCCGGCAATGTAAAGCAGGAAATATTATTAGACACCGAAGGAGGCCGGAAATTTCAACGCCAATCAGCACGAGCATAACCCTGCTAGATCTCGTCAGCGCATGCAAGTTCCGACCGATTCGAAATCGAGACAACTACCGAGTCAGATGCACCAATCTGCGCCCGAGGAGGACGTCTCTTCAGCAGCGCAAACCGCCCAGGGAGCATTTCATGTCTCGACTAGAATACCGTCAAAGCTGAGGGATTCCACCAGCGCATACGGGCCCCAATGAGCGAGCTTCATGGCGCATGGCCATAGCAGGCGGCTTCAGCGATAATCTGACTCGAGGCTGTTAATAGATCTGACAAGTCGGGTTTCAAGCCTAATTTGCATGTTACTATAATTTCTTCAATGACATGCAGACAGAGGATCCGTGCAACTTCTAACAGGCATGCAGCCATGCGAGCGTGGTGATTATATAGGATATTCATCCTGGCTATTGAGTAGGGATGTTCTTACTCCCAGTCCATGTTCTTTGCTGTTCAATCTTGCTAGTGTGCGTTTTTCTCCTCGGCAGGTCCTCTTTGTTTATTATGTTGTCTTGAGTGTCAGCGTGGATACCAAGGTCTTTCTTTGTTGCATTCGTACTCGATACTTCTCTACAACCCAATAATCTCCACTCTTCTTCTTCTCTTTTCTTTCTCATATACGCAGTACTCAACTGCATATTATATCTGAACATAGTACCTAGCTGGACTAGGCTTTCTATCGAGCAATACACCAGTATAAAGCACCAAGATGCGGCCCTTCATCGTGCTTTTCACCTGGCTGATGGCAACGGCCTACGCGGCTCCAGCTTTCTTCGACAACATTTACGACTACTCCGACGAACTGGCAGAGTTCTACAGCAAAGTGGGCGAGTATATCGACGATGCAAAGGATGTCTCCACTGCAACAACAACGTGCGATCCTTCCAAGATAGCCTTACCCGCCTTTGCATCCGGATTGCCCTCTCCCGGCAACCAGAAGCCACTATATGTCGCCGTTGGCCGCGGAACACAGGTTAGTAACAACTGCACATTGAGATCACACATTCGTTGCATGGCCAAGGTAGCTGACCCCACGCAGAATTACAGTTGCGCAACCTCAACCGCAGACTCGAAACCGGTGGCCATAGGTGCCGTCGCAAGTCTTTACAATGCAACATGCATTGCAGCAAGCTATTCCGACATGATAGACATGCTCCCTAACATTGCCTATAAGCTGCAGCTACCCACCAACTCATGGGCGACTCTACCTTACGCCAACCTCAATCTTCTTGGTCATCATTTCTTCGAAGAGTCGGTCCCCGTTTTCAATCTCGACACAACTCCGCAACGACAGTACGGTATAGCCTATACAAAGAAGAAAGCCGACCTGGCTGCACCGTCTTCTGCAGTCCAAGGTGCCAATGGTGCGGTTGCATGGCTGTACCTGACGACAACAGAGGGCACAGTTGGAGACTACGAGAGTGTCTATCGGGTAGATACTGCCGGGGGATCACCGCCGAAGACCTGCGAGAACCAGCAGTCAGTCGTTACAGTGCAATATGCAGCGAATTACTATTTCTTTGGGAAGTGAGGTGGCGCGAGGGTTTCGATTTTGTTTTGGCTGTTGAATCATGTACATACTCGTATGTTTCCTGGCTAGAATCCTTCTCACTCATGAGAAAGAACTTGCGAAAGAATCACGCTTCTTGAGTGTCTCCGTAATACATTAATGCGAAATCCCGTAGTTCTCCCACCTCTTACCTAGTACCTATGGATGCTCAAGCAACGATCCAATTGGACGAGGGCTTATACAAGTCAGGTGATCTCGCTATCAGTTAATATCACGTGACTGGTGTTCCCACATCAGCCAAAGCCCCGCTAAGCCGCTTTAAGATTAGCGGGTTCTGATTTTCGAAAGATCCAAAGGCTCAGTCTGAAAAATCTCGACCGCAACAAACGACGAGCAGTACGGCCTCGACGGAACCCTGAAAGCAGACACGGTGCGGAATTTTCGCCTATCTGCTACCTAGAGGCAATTTATCATCTCGACTCTCGGTTCTTTCCAGTCGCAACGGGCTTAGCTGTCCTTTTACACATCGAAACTTTTTTTTTCATCTTCGCTATAACAGCAGCTCCGCAATTTCATTCTCAGCCCGTTATCTCGGCTGTGAAAACGATTTCGAACTTTATATCTTTCCGATAATTATCATATCATAAACCACAATGGCATTCGGTGGTCCTAGAGGAGGTGGCCGCGGCGCTCCCCGTGGTGGTCGTGGTGCTCCACGTGGAGGAGGTGGTGGTCGCGGTGGCAGAGGTTTGTTCACCCTCATATCCTCCATCTGGGGTAATAGGCAGGCATAGACCCCTGAACCAGCGGTTTGGCTGTTCTAGTGATATTGCTTCTACTGGAGCCAGAACTCTGAAGCTTCAATGCGGTCGCCTGTCTTACAGCGTCCCCTGTGATGAACGGCAAGCTAATACGATCTCTTCTTCATTTTCAGGCGGACTTGGAAGCGGTGGTCGTGGCCGTGGTGGTCCTCGCGGCGGCGGCCGTGGTGCCCCTGCTCGTGGTCGCGGTGGTCGTGGCGGCGGTCGTGGCGGTGCTAAGGGTGCCAGGGGTGGTGCCAAGGTCATCATTGTATGTGTCTTCTGTGGCTGGGAGCGATTGATGGGTCTGGATACTAATACGGGGATGTGTAGGAGCCTCACCGTCACGCCGGTGTCTTCGTTGCCCGTGGTGGTAAGGAAGATTTGCTTGTCACCAAGAACTTGACTCCTGGAGAGTCCGTCTATGGCGAGAAGCGCATTGCTGTCGAGTCCCCTGCCGGTGAGGATGGCGCCGTCACCAAGACCGAGTACCGTGTGTGGAACCCCTTCCGTTCCAAGCTTGCCGCCGGTATCCTGGGTGGTCTCGATGATATCTACATGAAGCCTGGCTCCAAGGTTCTGTACCTTGGATCTGCCAGCGGTACCTCCGTCAGTCACGTCGCTGATATTGTCGGACCTACCGGAAACGTCTACGCTGTCGAGTTCTCCCACCGTTCTGGCCGTGATCTGATTGGCATGGCCACCCACCGCACCAACGTTATTCCCATCGTCGAGGACGCCAGACACCCTCTCCGCTACCGTATGCTCGTCCCCATGGTTGACGTTATCTTCGCCGATGTTGCCCAGCCCGATCAGGCCCGTATTGTCGGCCTGAATGCCCACATGTTCTTGAAGAACGAGGGTGGTGTCATTGTCTCCGTCAAGGCCAACTGTATCGACAGCACGGCCAAGCCCGAGGTTGTTTTCGCTCGTGAGGTGCAGAAGATGAGAGAGGAGAAGATCAAACCCAAGGAGCAGCTGACTCTGGAGCCTTTCGAACGTGACCACTGTATAGTGTCTGGTATCTACAAGCGTTCTGCATAAAAATTTGGGGGTCTGATCTCTTTATCATGTTTCTAATCATCCCATGTTTGCTATTTTTCGGCGTCAAGTGTTCCGTGATATGTTGAAATGGCCCTTTTCTTTTTCTGGTTTATGTCCATGTCCAGGTGTCCGTTTTTACAAATGTATTCTGTTCGAGTCGAAAAATCTTCCAGGTTTGCGGTTTCTGTCTAGAAAGAACACGCTTGGATGTTATTTCTTGTTTTTTTAGTGTGAGACGAATGTGATGGTTCATTACACTCTCTATTTCTTCCAAGAATATTATCTTTCAAACTGACGGGTTGTTCACAGAGTAATCGCCTATCGGACTTGCGCCGGTGACTCTTCCATGGAACGGGAGCAGTTCGGTCGGACAGGTCTCCGACACTGGAGAGTCGGAACATCTGCGTGATACCAATGGCTCAACAGAAACAGTGAGGTAATTCCCGCGATGGCCACAGCTAATGATAGTAATGCTGATGGCGTCGAGGCGGAGAAATAATGGTGGACGTGGGGGAGCATTCACACGCTCTCTCCACCGACCCCGCATACATAAACAGCATGGAGACTATATAAACCAGCAGCAATGGGATAAAATTGAGGAGGGAGTTATAGTTACTGAATGAGTCTGAGCGTCCTTGCAATATTCAGTTTCTGTTCTATCTTCTAGTCAAATCGCTTCCGATTCGCGATTAAGAACTCAACGTCTTCCACCATGTCCATCATCATCACCGGAGCTGGCGGCTACGTCGGCCAGGAACTGGCTGCTGCATTACTCTCAAGTGAACCAAATGCTACAGTACTCCTCACAGACGTCGTCGCACCCTCAGTTCCATCCTCCGCTGCCGAACATGCCTCGCGAGTCAAGAGCGTCCAAGCAGACCTCACCGACCCAAGCGTGGTCGACTCACTATTCAACGAGTCCCACCGCTACGACACCGTCTACCTGCTCCACGGGATCATGTCCAGCGGCGCAGAAGCCAACTTCGAGCTCGGGATGCGGGTCAATCTCGACGCAACCCGGTACATCCTCGACAGACTACGCACCACCATGGCGGGTGTGAAGGTGGTATTCACCTCGACGCTAGCCGTCTACGGTCTCGCGCCCCCCGGGTTCGTCATCGACGAGACCAATTTCCCGCCTGTGCCGTCGTCCTCGTACGGGTCGGCGAAGCTCGTCATCGAGACGCTGCTGAATGATTACTCGAGGCGGGGGTTCATCGACGGTCGTGCCGTGCGATTACCCACGGTGACGGTGCGAGCGGGCCAGCCTACCCAGGCTGCGAGCAGCTTTGCGAGCGACATCATCCGGGAGCCGTTTAATGGGAAGAAGGCGATCCTGCCGGTGAGTAAGAGCACGGAGCTGTGGATTTGCTCGCCGTATACTGTGGTGAAGAATCTGTTGCATGCGAGGACTATCCCCAAGGAGGCGTTTGGGGTTTCGAGGTCGGTGAATTTACCAGGTCTGAAGGTTAGCGTTCAGGAGATGCTGGATGCGTTGGAGGAGATTGGAGGCAAGGAGCGTCGGGATTTGGTGGAAGAGAAGTATGATGCGGATGTTGATCGGATTGTCCAGACGTGGACTCCTAACTTCAACACTGCGCGTGCTATCGAGTTGGGGTTCTCGGAGGATGTTTCGATGGTGGAGAATATTAGGCAATATGCCAGTCGGTTTCATTGATTTCTATCGGGCTGATATCACAGTATGAGGACAATCAAGGCAATTCTCTTCGACTTGCAGTCACCCTACCAAGACATAAACAAAACTTGAATCTACTCGCAGGGGGGCAGATCTATGATATGCCCATGCTGGCATGCGATTGTTTAGCTGGGGCTTTGTATGTGCTACATGCATTCGCTTTAAACGAGGCTGGATACACACAAAGAACTCATCCTCAATTGCCCCCTATAATACGGCCTTGAAGGTTTGCCACATAATGCCAAGGGAGGAGCACGTCTGCGCCTTCCCCGGCAGATTACCTCGACTTCCAAGGTGGCAGCACGAGCCGTTGTCCACCCCCCCCACCTGTTCGGCTCCTTTGACCGGGCACTCTGTCGACGGCGTGCTGCGTCATCATCAAGGTCAGAACCCGTCAGGGTGTCAATGGTCAGTGATTTCTGGAGGTAGGCAGAAGTGTGCAGGGAACTGCCCTGGAACAGGAAAATACTAAACACATTATTAAGATGGGCCCAGAGCTCCCGCTAGCCACATATCAATGAGCACGCTTAGACACGAAATCAATGTCGAGCAATGCGTGTGCAAGGAATCTCTCTCTGCAGTGGGTAAGTCATACCAGAGCAATGTGACCAGACTTGTCATCTTGCTCATACCACAGGCGTCAGCTAGGATGTCCCCGGCCATTGACCTGTCATGGTAAGTCCAGTATGTGTTGCCGTTGATCGTATCCGGCCATCAGGTCGTAATCAGGAGGCCCCTAAATGGATATAATTAATTACTATATCACAAGGAGTAAGAGTCATAACTTACTTCGTACCAGCAAGGGCCATCTTCCGGCTTCATCTCGAACTCGTCGACAACAGCCCCATGCTGGAAGTAACGGGACTCATTACCAACCAATGCGTCTTGAGGGAATTCGAGTCCCAATCAATCACAGCCTGGAGATTCTCTTCTGGTCTATCTTGTTATAGAATGTGGCTAGGAACTTCAACTCAGCGATTCGTTGGCCGTGCGTGATTGGCCACCTTGACACCAGGTTCCAACGGTTTCTCCTCGTAGGAGGCTCGAATGTGAAGTTTGGAACCTCAGAGAGAGGAAAATTTGCAGTGCAGGCCCCTTGGAAAGTATGAGCTTGACCAGATTGTCCGACATGGACTCAAAACTTCAATCAACAGTGTACGTAAACTTGCAACTGATCGCGGAGGAACGGATCTATGTGAGCAGTTGGAGAGAAGAGCAGTTTGATGAAGATGGAAGAGAACTTCAATGGTAGCTTTCCCTGCAGGTTACAATTCTACGGAGTGGATACTGAGGACAATAATCATGCCCGTCGAGCATGTCCATTCACAAACGTGCTGGAGTATGGTGGTTCTGCAGTACTGCAGTGAGGAAACAGTCGGGATGGAAGGCAGGCCGGTTTGGAAAAGCGGGTCATGTGATTGGCTGGCGAGAGCTGGCGAACAATTTGACTCCCGAACTTCAACCTCGCATCTCCAGGACTGCCCCATTCTCCAGCAACCGTCCTTTTCAATTCCTCCCTCTCCCTTCAGTCTCCCTCCAGTCTTTCACAATGGCCTCTCGGCGCCTAGCGTTCAACTTCAACCAGGCTCTGCGGAGCCGTGCTGCCTTGAAGGCCGTTCAGCCCGTGAAGCGTGGCTTTGCTTCTCCGGTCGCCTTGCCGTCCACCACCCAGTCGACGACTCTCTCCAACGGATTCACGGTACGAAAAAGAATTGAATTGCATCTCAATGGCTTCGCAATTCCGCTAATCAACCATAGATTGCGACTGAATACTCCCCATGGGCTCAGACATCCACTGTTGGCGTCTGGATCGACGCCGGCAGCAGAGCAGAGACTGACAAGACCAACGGAACCGCACACTTCCTTGAGCACCTTGCCTTCAAGGTATATACTCAGCGAATATTCAGGTAGTGAATCGGTTGCTGACGGAAATTCAGGGTACCAACAAGAGAACTCAGCACCAGCTGGAACTCGAGATCGAAAACATGGGTGCTCACCTGAACGCTTACACTTCGGTACGGCCCGGAACGATGATCAAGTTGACCTTTTCATCAGGAGACGAGTTGAACTAATTAGAGCTTTTATAGAGGGAAAACACTGTCTACTATGCCAAGTCTTTCAACAACGATGTCCCCAAGGCCGTCGACATCCTCGCCGATATCCTGCAGAACTCGAAGTTGGAGCCCGCTGCTATCGAGCGTGAGAGAGATGTGATTCTGCGTGAGCAGGAGGAGGTTGACAAGCAGCTCGAGGAGGTCGTTTTTGACCACCTGCACGCCACTGCTTTCCAGAACCAGCCCCTTGGTCGCACCATCCTCGGTCCCAAGGAGAACATCCAGACTATCTCCCGGGATAACTTGACCGACTACATCAAGACCAACTACACCGCTGACCGCATGGTTCTGGTCGGTGCCGGTGGCATCCCCCATGAGCAGCTCGTTAAGCTGGCTGAGCAGCACTTCGGTTCCCTCCCCAGCAAGCCCCCCACCTCCGCTGCTCTCGCTCTCACCGCTGAGCAGAAGCGTACCCCCGAGTTCATCGGATCCGAGGTCAGAATTCGTGACGACACTCTTCCCTCTGCCCACATTGCCGTTGCTGTTGAGGGTGTCAGCTGGAAGGATGATGACTACTTCACTGCTCTCGTCGCCCAGGCCATCGTCGGCAACTGGGATCGTGCCATGGGCAACTCCCCCTACCTCGGCAGCCGCCTCAGCTCGTTCGTCAACCACCACAACCTTGCCAACAGCTTCATGAGCTTCTCCACCAGCTATAGCGACACTGGGTAAGTTTGTCATTTGCTAGAAGTGTGGCAATGCCAGGTAAAGAATTGGACTGATCGAAATATAGTCTGTGGGGTATCTACATGGTCTCGGAGAACCTGACCAGGCTCAACGACCTGGTCCACTTCGCCCTCCGCGAGTGGTCTCGCTTGTGCTACAACGTCTCCGCTGCCGAGGTTGAGCGCGCCAAGGCTCAGCTCAAGGCCTCCATCCTCCTGTCCCTCGACGGCACCACTGCCGTTGCCGAGGACATTGGTCGCCAGATCATCACCACCGGCCGTCGCCTCAGCCCTGAGGACGTTGAGCGCATTATTGGCCGAATCACCGAGAAGGACGTCATGGACTTCGCCAACCGCAAAATCTGGGATCAGGATATCGCCATCAGCGCTGTCGGTTCCATTGAGGGCATCCTGGACTACCAGCGCATCCGCAGTGACATGAGCCGTAACTCCCTGTAAACGAAATTACCGGTTTTTCTTGATGCCTCAGAATTCATGGCAATTGCCTCCTGTCCAGTTATGTTT